CCATGGCGCCATATATGACATCCTTGTTGTCCGTACAATTGCCGCGTGAAGTACGTCTCAAGATGTAGTACGAGGGGCTGTCCGAGCGAATGGGTATAGCCAGGCCGCAGACAGGATCCAACGTGTCTCGTGACAATGCTGGGTCAAGTTCATGTTTCATTTTCAGAGTGATGACAGAATGCCCGAACGCCTCGCGGGTCATTTCATCCCTGCCGCACAGAAACACTGCATTCTTTGCAAGGTGGAGTTCCTGCACAATCCAAATACGACTGAACCAGGCGCGGTTCAGTAACGAATCGATAGCCAACCAGGTTGCCTTATCGTACGGTAGCAGGACGTTTCTGTCGTGCCAATCCGCTTCTGTCGCACCAGGTGCGCTGCAAATCCACGAATCGGCCCTCACTATCACTTGAGCCCCGAGGTTACTGAGGGCGTGCATTGCTAGTGCACTGTCATGCGAAGAATGCCCAAGCCAAATCATGACTCGCACGGCTTCCTTGTACACAGTGGCCGCTCCTTTGACTTGTACAGCGACCTCATCGAGATCTTGCTGATTGATGCAAATGGCGTCGACCCAGAGCGTGCGGGGTCTATTCTCATATCGCAAATGACGCAGTGCAGAGGCCAAATTTGGACGGACATAGAGCGCGTGGAAGCTGCCCTGGTCGAGGCGGTGGTCTCGTGAGATCACTCTGATGCATTCCGAATCATCAGCAGCGCCCCATGTGTAGGACAATGCTTCAAAGCTTGGATCGTGCTGGGACTGAGGGATTTTTTGGTAGGGGCTCAGATCAAAGTCTGGATCTGGGTGCGCCCACTGCGATAAAGGTTTGCCCCTGCCATCGTCATGGAGAAAGAAAAGTCTACCTGACATATCCTCATGGGCCTTCCAGCCTTCAGGTAGCCTTTCCGCGAGGTGCCGCAAACTGAGTCTCGGTGGTAGCTCGGATGGCGTCAGGGCAACATGGTGGAAGCTAAGCTGAATGTCATCAGTGGGAAGGCCTGGGTGTAGTTCGATCAGCCTGATGTGGCCATCAGCCAAAGGTTCGTAGACGTAGTTAGGCATTGTTGTCGTTATGCCGTTAAGATACAACGGTGAGTGCGTTTGGTATGGAGTCGAATAGGAGTGTGGTTACAAAGTGGTGCAACGCGGGGCTGGTCAAGGGACCCATTTCGTTGAACTGCATGATGATCAAAATAGTTCTCGGCCCCCAACGTGGAATAGTCACATGACCATGCATGTTGGTGGTCCAGCAAGTGAAGGCAGATTTCGATTGCGATGAACGTTTGTTGGTGTTTGTTGGACTCCCTTACACAATACTCGGAGGGAGAACCTCCCCTGCAGGCGTGTCTGGAATGCCTGTATCTGGTTTGTCAACCTCATGCGACCATCCCTCCTTAGTGGTTACTAACGTTGTTCATGGGACCTGACCAACCGGAAGATCGCCCCCTGGGTGAGGGCTGTCACGGAGGCCTGTGCTACGATTCATAGCGAATCGTCCTGAGTTGAAAGCTCCCCATCATCACGCCGAGACTTATAAGGTGGCATTGTAGTTCATGATGTATAGGTATCTCACCTAACGCCTTAAGTTATACGCCTACGACTCGGGTTTTCTAAAATGCCTACAAGATGACTTAATCGACTGCAGTAAAGGTGGCGCTCAAAGTAATCGTGACTGGTAGATACCTCGTAGGACGGAATGTATACAAGTCTCGACAAAAGCACGGCATCCATGATGTCAAGCATCATGCGAGCTGGAAGGGGCGCAATTTATTACATAAATGCACGAGAAAGTTGGTGTAGGTGACTCACCTCCTCAAGAACCGAGGCCTCTTGAATCTGGAACCCGGGACTCAAGTCAAAACGATGTATGGATTCTCAACCCAGCTCCAGCTCACTATAAGATTGAATTTTTTCTGGACTTACAAGAAAGGTGCAAAGATGAGCGGACTCTGAAATGTTGCATAAATCAGCCCGGGAATGCAACCAGGCCACTGGGAAATATCGGTTTCTACCGCTGTGCCATACATCATTTTCCAGCTCTGTGGATGAATAGCACGGGAATAAATCGGGGATGAGAAAAACCTATGAGGGTGGTCATATACTTGGGGCGACAATCATCCGATTAAGAAGATGAAGGACTTGTCCACCCTGAGCCTCTCTGGCAGAAGGGTTCAAGTTGGTGCCTAGATAAGCGACTGCAAAGAAATGCTGCTGGAGGCAGAAACGCACAGGGAGTCGAAGACAATACGACCGTGTTGAGCTCAAGTGTTTCCGGTACGGACTTTTTTTGGCCGGCTGCGTGCCAATTATTTCATGAAGGATTCCAAATCCTTGCTACTTTCAGGCCCGCAAAGCCCCTGATAATCAAGTTGTCAGCACTAACCCATTTTGGATTCAAATCTCGGTCTGCAGATCCAGTAAAATAATGCTGAATTTATCGAAAGGGGCTCGTGCCAAAGGGACAAGTGCCTCATCACGTCGAGTATCATCGGCATGCGATATCAAGAATTTTCAATTGACCGACCGCAGCGCCATGGACTCGAAGACACTCATCATTTTTGCGAGCACCACACTAGCCGTGTTGATTCCCGGTATCTTTTTGTATCGATTGTGGTTCTCGTCAACTGCAGAAGCGGACAAAAGACGCGAGATCAATGAGCCGCAAACGATAATTGTTCATCCGGAGCCTGCCAAGTATATTCGAGACCTGGCCATCGCACTTCCGAATAGTCTCATCCTACCGACAGATGTGCTTGCATTCAACGCTTCTCTGAAAGTTTGGTTTTCCTCACAGAACCGAGACATTATCCCAGCATGCATCGTCAAGCCAAAGAGTGAGAAAGAACTCAGCCTGGCATTGACTCACCCCCGTCGAGAGCATACAATCAGAGCCAAAGACCCAGCAAATGTCGGCCACGGCCTTTTCGCCGTGCGAGCGGGCGGAGCCAACCCTGCTACAGGCATTTCGGGCGTGAAAGATGGCGTCATTCTTGATCTGTCGCTGCTTTGCGATATAAAACCTTCCGCCGATGGGTCCAGTGTCGTCGTCGGCGCAGGTGCTTACTGGCGAGACGTTTACCGAGCTTTAGAGGCTAGGGGACTAGGAGTTGTCGGTGGCAGGTCCTCGCCCGTCGGGGTTGGAGGGTCAACATTGCAAGGTCAGTGGCGAATCGTTCTTCCCTTATATTCGTTATCCCAAGCATCTTGTGGCTTATTCGTATGGAAGGTGGTCTATCATTCTGGTCACCTAAATTCGGGTTGATTTGCAACAATGTGATTAGCTATCAGGTCGTGCTCGCCGATGGTAGCATCGTCACCGCGTCTGCGGATGAGAATAACGATCTATGGCGATCACTCAAGGGCGGTGGCAACAACTTTGGCGTCGTCTCTCAATTCACGTTGCGTAGCTTCCATGCACCCAAAAACATCTGGACTGGAACTTTTGCGACTCCTGGATTTCTCAGTACTCGCGCAATTACAGCGTTTTACGAACATGGAGAACGCGCCATGTCAGGCAAGCCTGGCATGTTTGATGAGCACGCTTCGACGCCTATCCTTTCGCTCTCGTACATCACAAACCTGGGCATTAAGATGCACTTCTGCCACATGGTCTATACAAAACCGTCAGACAACAACAACGATTGGCCGGAGTACTGGAAAAAGTCTCCTCTTCGCTCGTTGTGGCGTTTCCAAAATACGTCTAAAAACGAGTCACTCCATGATTCCGTCATGACGCTGGGCTCCTTATCTGTTACTGACGACCGCAATGCTTTTGGCACCACAACAATTAAGAGCGACCTTGCGACACTGTTGGCTGTGCGACAGATCTTCAGTGAAGCCACTCCTTCTATCAAGCATGTCAAGAATTGCATGTTCATCTACATCACGCAGATGGTGCTTCCTCAGTGGGTAAACAAGGGCGATCCCAATGTGCTGGGCCTTGAGGAATGCCAGGAGCCTCTTGTCATTATCAGCTTCGCCGTCAATTGGGGAACAGCCGAGGACGACGAGGCCGTCACAGGTGCCGTACGCCGGACTATTTCGCGTATTGAGGAATTTGCGGCTGCGAACGGCACAGCTCACCCATATCGTTTTTCGAATTATGCGGCCGAGTGGCAGAATCCATTGCAAGGGTATGGGAAGAACAGCTTGCGGTTTATGCAAGATGTCAGCAAGAAATATGATCCAGAGGGGCTCTTCCAGACAGGATGCTTGGGTGGTTTCAAGCTCGATATCGGGCAGAACTCATGACGGATTGTAATTGATTAATTCGGCAATTATGTTCACAGCATCCTGTCTATAAGACTCCTATTCTGTAACGCAAAGCCTCCACTTTCCCATTGAACAACAGTATCATGCACAACTTTAACAAAATGCTGAGAGGTGGTTTGTTCGTGTGGCATTGGTAGTAAAGGTGATGATTCTCATTGGGGTAAGCTTTTGGCTTGCTTGAACAATAAGTATCCATTTCCCTGCATTCTTTTACCTCTACCCGAGGCCGCCCCGCGACAGACTGCAGGAAGATGAAGCAGAGTAAGGATCTGTGGGGAAACTTACACCAGCTCTTCCCACATGGAGAAGATGGTGTGACTTAACCCCAGATACTACGGTGGCACCATGGTGGACCACCGACGATTCTACGATCTATTGCCCCCGCAAATGGTGTAGGTCCAGCAACGTCATGCCTCCCTTCTTCGGCAGGGGAGCGCTGAGGAGGGAGGAGGTGGATGGGTTCATAATCATAACAGATGCTCGTTCATGTGGGGCCGACTGTGACGAAACTCTAATCGAAGTGACCAGCGCTCGCTGCTGAACTGCAGGCGACTGGTTGTAAGGTGGGATCGTGGAGGCAGTGCATGATGTGGGGTTCCCCACGGAGGCCGGGTCATTTTATGTGGGATACCTCACGAACGTTTGACTGCTGAAAATGAAGACCTCATGCGGAATTCCATCTACAGTGCATGACTCTGGATTTGCATTTGCGACACCAGTCAAGATGAACGCCAATTTTTCTACATATCGCAACATTATTGCTGGCGCGCCACGCACGGGCAAAACCGTGAGCCACGGAACTGATCCTTCCACTCGCAAGCCTCTATGGGACATTCCTGTCGCATCTGCTCAAGACCTCGATGATGCTGTGGCCTCAGCTCAGGCAGCTTTTCTCATTTGGTCGCAGACTCCCTGGAAACAGCGACAGGCTTGCCTTCGGCAGGCTAGAGCGTTGCTGCAGGAGAACAGGAAGTCCATGGCCAAACTGATTTCATCCGAAGGAGGAAAGCCACCGCAATTTGCAGATTTAGAGGTGGCTCACGGTCTGCGGTATATCGATTATTATGGTAAAGTGCAATGTTCACCGATCTTTTGTACTGGACTTACACAAAGCAGCCGATATGGAAGAACCAATGCCTGAGATAGTACAGGATGACGCGGAACTACGTCTAACACTGCATCATGCCCCAGTCGGTGTAGTCGGCGCCATATGCCCGTGGAACTTCCCCCTTGTCTTGGGCCTCTCAAAGATTGCCCCAGCTCTGGTCACGGGGAATTGTGTGATCACCAAACCCTCGCCATATACGCCCTACAGCATTGTCAAGTTCACAGAGATCGTGTCCCACATCTTCCCACCTGGAGTGTTGCAGGCGTTGAATGGAGGACCAGAATTAGGGCCTATGATCTGCGACCACCCAGGCATCCAAAAGATCAGTTTCACCGGGTCCACAGCAACAGGTAAAAAGATAATGCAATCGGCCAGCAAGACTTTGAAGAATATTACTCTCGAACTTGGCGGCAACAGTGCAAGCATCATTTGCCCGGATGTCGATGTTAATACTACAGCACCAGAGGTTGCCCTTGGTTCGTTCTTCAACTCGGGCCAGCTCTGTGTGGCTAGCAAGCGCATCTACGTGCACGAAGCTGTCTACGACTCGTTCCTCAAAAAGCTTGTCGAAACAGTCGCATCTTGGAAGGTTGGACCTCCTTCCACTGAAGGAGTAATGCTTGGCCCCGTACAAAACGATATGCAATACAAAATAGTCAACTCGATCTCAGACGACGCCATCCGCAACGGCTATAAGTTTGCCTTGGGAGGGCAGAAGAAGCTGGACAGCTCCAGCTTTATCATTCCTCCTGCCATCGTCGAGTGCCCTCCAGACTCTTCAGTCGTTGTACAAGTGGAGGCGTTTGGTAAGCTACGAAAGCCGTTTATCAGCGACATATCTGACATTCTTTTAGGGCCCATAGTTCCAGTGATGAAGTGGTCAGACGAAGACGACCTCATTTCAAGAGTCAATGACACCACCACTGGACTTGGAGGTGCTGTATGGTCGAAGGACCTGGTGCGCGCTCATCATCTCGCATCTCGCATCGAGGCTGGTACTGTCTGGATCAACAGTTTCGAGAAACCCCTTCCACAAGCCTATATGGCCGGTCACAAGGAGTCGGGTATTGGTGGAGAGGGTGGAAAACAAGGTCTCTTTGTGTTTCTAAACCCAAAGATGATCCATCTTTACAAGGCGCCTGTGGGGGCCAAATTGTAACGGTCTGTCTTTGAGGTTCATACTCCGGGACCTCTATAAGGAGAATCTCGCGGTACTTGTACGTTTTAAGGTCATATTCAATCATCATTAGGAATCTTGAGCAAGTTTGAGTGGCGTCCTCGTCGTGACGAGGATACACATGTCTCATACATGCACCCAGTTCGCATAAACCATCGCGTTCAAACCACTGACCTGGTTGGAGGAATACATGCTTTTCCTAAAAGGGAACATGAAAGCAACCCATGAGATTTGAGCGATAATGTTAATGGACCAGATCGCTTGAAGGGGTCCAGGCAGCACATTGTAACTTTGTTGGCGACCTAAAGATGTAGAGAAGCTTCTTCATGGTTAAATTTGACATGTGAAGTAAGACACAAAATTGTAACATATCGATTCATCTGTTGGCTGCTATGACAGAAATCTGCCAAAGATGTCATTACATGCTTGTGGAGAAAGTGAAAGTCTCTCATTACGCCGGTCCCGCAGCCAATACGTAAGGACGGGTTCAAAAAACAATGTGAAAGCTCAACCTCAGAAGCTGCAAGGATCGACCACAGCCGTGATATACATGTCACAGTAGCATCCTTAACCCGGGGAGTTCGCTCAGCCTCTCACTTCAGATTCCCCCGCAGCTGCCTACTGATGATATCTTTTTCTGCTGTAAAATCCAGGCTCCTCAACAATATACTTTGCAGGATCAACGTTCAGCTCTCATAGACGGCTGTCATGGCTGCGAAAGAGTCCAGCAAACCTCTCTCGAGCATCCTGCACGCAATCGTGACCGTAAACCATCTGTTGGACTTCTGGGCTTACCCACTTATCTGGCACGGGAGCTCCCTTGGCCTTGGCAGCCGCGAACTGTCGATCTCTCTCCCTCTTTGCTTCCCCATCTTGCAGATGGAGCGACCGAGCTGAGGCAGCGGCTAGGTTCACAATGGTTGAAGTTCGAGGCTTCCTGAGGCGCTCGTAGGCCTTCAAGGAGCGAGGGATTGTCTCCGAGTCAAAACCGGCACCCAAACCCAGAGACACAATCTCTGCCAAGCAAGCCGCATCCTCGATGGCCATGGCAGCCCCTTGAGCTACATGTGGTAGCGTTGGATGGCAAGCATCTCCTAACAACGCAACCGCTCCACGAGTCCAGGTAGCCAATGGCTTGTGGCTGCGCAATCGCCATTCGACAACGTCACCCTCGGGCGCGAGGTCAAGAAGTTTCTGGACGAGGGGACAAAAGTCTGCAAATACAGCTTTCATGGCTGTCTTGTCACCCTTGGTCGACCAAGCCGTATTCGCCGGACCCGCAAAGTTCACATCGGGCTGCGTCGTGGCGATATTATATATCGTGTGGTTATGAACGGGATACGCAATCAGGTGTCTTCTTGGCCCCGTCCATCGTCGCACAACGTCGCTGTCAATCAGAGCAAGCAGCTCTGGGTCAGCGACCATTCGTTCGCGATCAACCAAGATGCGGTAGGCTGAGGTCCCAGTTTCCTCAGACTCTGCTGAGAGATCAAGCCCGCTAAGCAAAGAGTCCCGAACAGCAGATTTGATCCCGTCGGCTCCAATCAGAATGTCGGTCTGGAGAAACTGGCTAACCTGCCCTTCGTTTTTCACGACAAAGTGAACAGGGCCAGGCCCAAAAGACGAAACGGCTTCGAACGTATGGCCAAAGTGAAAGTGCACTGCAGGCTCAGCCTTGGCGGCATCATAGATACCGCCAGCCAGTGAAGCACGATGGCCGGCATGGTGTGCGTATCCGTACTTCTGGCCGACATCTATCATCGGTACCCGAGCTAGCTCGCCATTCGTTGGACCGTCAAGGACTACTACTTCCTTGACGTTTGTTGCCTCGCGTGCGATGGCGGAATCCTGCCAAATGTCGAGCCTATCGAGGACGCGGATCAGATTGGGTGCAATCTGAATACCAGCTCCAACGAATCCCAGCGCAGGCGCGTTTTCGTAAACATCGATTTGTTTAAATCCCTTTCTAGCAAAAGCGAGTGCGGCAGTGAGGCCGCCCATTCCTGCTCGATTTAGAAGAAGTCAAGTTTTAAATTTGCTGACTGGCTTACCGGCCCCGATGATGGACACTCGTTTATCCCGATAGTCTGCCATGGTATCCTCTGATTACGGAGCTGAAAGAATTCAAGGATTAGGTAAAGTTCTGCTTGGCGATTGGGGCCAATAGCTTCAACACCAGATCCCCAGCCTAGTGATATAATTGCTTCATCTGGGGGATCATGGAGAACTCTGGTGGGACAGGTGGGTCTGCTACCACAATGGCAGCGTTGCCTAGTCCCCACGCGACGCGGGGTTGGTCTGCCATAATGCACCATAAGTCAAAGTGTCATGAATGCACGTTCACAAGATAGGTGGGGCCACTATTTCTTTTCCTCCGGCATCGGGAATCACCCCCGAGGTCCGACGACGCCGACTCGGTGGAGCCGCCTTGAGCTTAGCATACATGTACGACAGCTGAAGAGGTATGCCCCAGTGACGCCGGTACCTCGCTGCGGGACAGAGTAACAGGCTAAAATGTACGAAAACAATAAATGAATTGGCGAGTGATGCCCATTTTTCAAGACATTGTAGATCCAGTACTGGTAGACTGTAGAACATGAATACCGATGCATACGTGGTCCGATTGGCGATCGTTTCTCTGAGTCGAATTGAGGCGCATGTGGTGCTGACAAAGTTGTCCTATGGCGAACTGCCGAAATTGTCTGCCGAACTGTAGATTGTCACGGAACATCCGGCAAAACTGCCGAAAACGCCAACCACAGAGGCTTTAGCGTGGTGCGGCTACCGTGACTCGCTGCACCTCACCATGTGGCATGGTCACAGTAAGCTCAAGTATACCGATATCTGTCCCCGAAACAATTGCCATGCCATTGACCTCGGTCAGAATCCAGGGTAGGGTACAACTGACCCTGCCTCCTAGGATGAACTCCAGATCAATAAAGTCGGGCGGCACGTCGCATAGTAATCAGAGAAGCCAATTAGCACAGCAGGACTCCGGCCTTTTTCGTCCAACGCAGCCTTTTCTTGCAAAGACCGGTAGAACTGAAGACCATGGCAGTACGTGATTTTGAAGGCAGGGTCGCCATTGTAACAGGCGCGAGTCAAGGGTCAGCTTCCCACACGCATTTCATCTCAGGGATTTGTTGACTGACACTTCACAGACTCGGGCGTGCCTGTGCAGAGCTGCTGGGCAGCAGAGGTGAGTAACATCCTTTGGGAGACGTGATGACCCCATTCATGACAATCTTTCTACAGGAGCTTCTGTTGTGATCAACGATCAATTTGGCGATGACAAGGTAAGATGATGCGGAATCGAAGATTAGCACAGGGTAATGTCTGACTTTCGACAGAGCCTTGCAGCCGTGGCGGAAGCCATTAAAAAAACCGGCGGCAAAGCCATTATCAACACCGACAGCATCCTTGACGGTGGGAAGATTGTTGAGACCGCAGTACAGAGCTTCGGAGGACTGCACATTCTGATAAATGCTGCTGGCTCCGCTGCGCAGTCGAAGAGCTTTGAGCATCTGGACGACGCCGAGTGGTCTGCCGAAACAGAGCTTCATATCAAAGGGAACTTTTTGGTAAGAACCCAGGAATGCAGGTCATTAAGCGTTGGCTGACCATGTTCAGACCACGAATGCAGCATGGAAGCACTTCCGAAACCAAAGCTTCGGTCGCATAATCAACGTCTCCTCCCTCGTAGGATTGCACGGATCGTCAGGTCAAGTAGTTTCTGCAGGTTTGTTATGCTTCCTTGACCAGGCGCGGAACTTGGGCACTGATAGTCATTCGTCATGCAGCAGCTACACATTCGCAAGTCGGATACAGTTACACCCTCGCCAAGGAAGGCTTGAAGAAGAACATTCTCGTCAATGTAGTCATACCGATAACTACACCCGGTTCCGCTGCGCCGAACTTCGATCAGTCAGCTTCTGTTGTGGCTTTCCTGGTTCATGAAAAAAACAAGAAAGAAAGCGGCACGTGCTTCCAGATCAGCGACAAACAGGTGGCTCGACTTCGTTGGCAGCGGTCGGGTGGCTTGCTGTTACATGCAGACGATACGATGACTCCTGCAGTGTTGCTGAAGAACTGGAAGCAAGTGACCAACTTTGATAAGCCCGACTATGCGTCCGGTCCACGGGACTTTCTGGATCTTCAGAAAAAGGGGGCGCAGTTGCCGCCGAATGCAAGCACAGATCCAATTTCTTTCAAGGGTCGAGTCGTTTTGATCACCGGCGCTGGTTCAGGGTACGTGATCTAGTGCCCTCTGCATCCCTTTCCCTAACCATTCAATAGCCTCGGTCGAGCGTATGCCCTTCATTTCGCGTCTCTTGGCGCATCTGTCATGGTCAACGATATCGCTGATCCATCGGCTGTCTTGGAGGAGATTCGAGACTTGGGTGGCAAAGCGGCATCAGTCATTGGTTCGGCGGAAGACGGCAAAAGAAATGTGGACGCCACCATCCGTGCCTTTGGAAGAATCGACGTTGTTGTAAACAATGCTGGTATTCTGAGAGACAAGGCTTTCCACAACATGTCAGACACGCTATGGGACCCAGTACTCTCGGTCCACCTAGGAGGAACTTACAAGAACATACGAGCTGCCTGGCCTCACTTCGTAAAGCAAGGCTATGGACGAGTCGTCAACACAACTAGCGTGACCGGTATCTACGGGCAGTTTGGCCAGGCCAACTATGCTGCTGCAGTAAGTTATATCCTTCAGCTGTTCTTGAGTCTCTTTAACCTTTAGACTGCAGAAATCCGCCATCATTGGTCTTACGCGCGCTCTGGCCCTCGAGGGTGCAAAGCACAACATCCTGGTTAATGTCATTGCCCCGAATGCAGGCACCAACATGACCAAGACCATTCTCAGCGACGAAGTATCAAAGCTCTTCCAGCCAGCCCATGTGGCACCGATTGTTTCCGCACTAGCCAGCCACGTCACAGCGCCAAGCATCTCTGGAGGAGTGTTTGAAGCGGGAAGCGGGTGGTTCGGAAACACTCGCTGGGAGGTCCTCAAGGGGCAATCCAAAGAGGTCAAGAGCTTGGATGAGGCAGCGAACCTGATTTCAAGCCTCAAAGACTCGTCGAAGTCCTATCCCACAACCATCGAGGCGAATATTGCTTTATTTAACCAACAAGATGGAGCACCAAAGGTATGAAATCTGCGCGACAACCTCCGTTTGAAATCTTACTAAGGTGATTAGCTGAACTCTGGCGACGTGGTTCTTGCCAATATTCGTACAGCACAGAGCACTGCTTCCAAGGCTTCAAAATTTGTATACACACAACGCGATCTCGTCTTGTATGCACTCTCCGTCGGCTCTAAGCATACCGAGCTTCCACTCGTATTTGAAGGACACAAGGATTTTACCCCCTTGCCAGTTTTTGGACTCATCCCGTTCTTCAACGCCGAAGCGCATTACAAGATGGATGATATCATGTCCAAGTACGACCTGAGATTGCTTCTTCACGTGGATCAATTTCTTGAGATTCGTTCTCCGATTCCCCTTTCGGGAATCCTCTCAACGTACCCGAAGCTGGTGCAAGTAGTCGATAAGGGCAAGGATGTACTGGTTGTCCAAGGCTTCACAACTGTCGACGAAAACGGCAATGAGATCTTCTACAACGAAACGACAGTACTTGTCCGCAAGGGCGGTGGTTTCGGTGGAGACGCCCAGCTCCGTGATCGAGGCCCAGCTACGGCTAAAAACGCACCTCCCCCCAGAGCACCAGACTACGTGGTGGAAGAAAAGACGTCAGAGGGTCAAGCTGCCTTGTACCGACTCAATGGTGATCTGAACCCTCTTCACATTGATCCAGACTTCAGCGCAAAAGGAGGCTTCCCAACGCCTATTTTGCACGGCTTATGTTCGCTTGGTGTGGCCGGAAAGCACTTGTTCCAGAAATACGGTTCTTTCAAGAACCTCAAGGGCAAGTTCACCAGCCCTGTCCTCCCGGGTCAGACACTCAGGACAGAGATGTGGTTGGAAAACGGCAAGGTAATTTTCCAAGTTGTTGTCCTTGAGACGGGAAAGAATGCTATCAGTGGTGGTGCTGTTACACTTGATCGGGCCATCGCGGCCCGTTTGTAGATTATGTAACCATAAGCTGTGGAGGATGGTTAAAGCTCGTAAGGGGTGGACCACAGATTAGCGCACTCCCGTTTCCTCTATGAATAGCATGTGATATCGGAATCATGAGGTGTGAAATGACCTATATGGCCACATGGGAGAGGACTTTTGACGGTTCAGACTACTTGGACGACCTACACGACAATGCTTGGGTCATGAGAATTTGTCCGAGACTTTGTAGGCCTATCATAGCTCCACTTATTGTCGTGGCAGGAACTTGTATACACGGTAATGAGTAATTTGTTCACCAATCATTCCTTATGAGCCGGACCGTATCTAAGTGGCTGAGCTTGACTACTTCTCAGTCCAGCCTTAGGCACCCATTGGATCGAGGCGAGCAATAGAAAACCAATCCTAGCGCCTGCCCGCCGACTATCATGAGAACATTGAATCATCAAGGCCCGACCAGATGATACTCTCTAGCATGTCATAATCTGTCTTACCGGGAGAAAGTTCGGCAAGATGCCACAAACCATCTTCTTCGTCCGTTTGGCTGAGTGGTGGGAGAGAAATGTTGGGATCGAGCCACTCATTCGTGGTTGGTTGAGCCCGGGGTGTGTTGCCGTCAGACACAGATGAGTCCATATCGGACTTCGGCGAGCCTCCCGTACACGAGTCTGGCAGCGGACGTACTGTAGCGGGCTGTCCCAAGCTCTCTGGACTGGAAGAACTTCGAATCGTAACAGGCAGGTCTGCTTCATCGGGAAGGTTACCCCGGGAGAGACTCAGGTCGATCGTCAGAGCCAGTCTCATGTAACATCCTGACTGGAACGCATCCGTACGGTCAACCAAGGTGGTGGTTGTGGAGATCTCGGAGGATTCCGCCAACTGCGAATCTCGTTCTTGGTTGACGATGACTCGAATCGCCCTCGCAAGACCATCGACACCTTCATAGAGGCGGCTATACGTCTTCATGGCTTCGGAGAAGATGCGAGCTTTAGGGCTTGTTGGGGTCGTGTTGCTGTTCAGTGCCAGGGGCAATGCAATACACGGGACACTGAAAGGGTCAGTGACGAGCGATTTGCAGCAGTCTGTACATGTCACTTACACGCTGACAGGGAGATAGCGATCTAGGTTGAGCTCGGTTAGAGTTGCCAGACACTTCCCTATGGAGACAGTTGACTCTTGCACTTCTTCTCGAAGATGCATGACATCGCGCGGGACTGCGCCTTCATTATCGTAGCACGATAGCATCAACCGATTCGCAAAGGCAATCCTCGCAGAGCTACAAGATGTTAGATTGGCGCACGGATGCAATGGGGTAGGAGGGAGGACTGACAAGTAATAAATGTGTTGCAGGTTTGTGAACAAGGCGATGGATGGATGGTCGCGGGATTGATTGAACGGATCACTGAGACATTCGACTGTCTTCCCGTGCCATCGATCCAGTGTTTTTTTGCTCAACGAAATCTTGCTGTTCTCTTCAACCAATCCAATTTGTCTTTTAGCACCGGCGTCGCTGTTGTCGAAGGGGAATAGCAGTGCAGACATAGCCACAACCTGGGCGCACATTTCGGCTAAGCCCAGGAAAGCCACAACGAGTTGCTTCTTCGTCCGGGGATCGTATACCCTCGAATCGTGAATCTCGTCTTTGAAGTCGTCGAATGTCAACGAGAAGGTTGTGTTGGAGTCGAGGCCGAGACTCTGACAGGACCGCCGTGACGAGATTGCCAGGGTTCCAGCTCGAATGATACAACAGACCCAAAGCTTCCTCAGAGACATCTGGACCTCGCTTGACGGACCGGGCTTAGCCGGGTTGAAGTTCCACTGATGAGCCCTGACTGATCTTGCGTTCTCGATGGCCGCCCGTAGCCAGCCGGTATTGGGTCTGATTGCCGCTTCTTCGAATGGCGGCGTCCAGTATGATAACAGCAGTGCAGCCTGGGCCATGTGAAGTTGAGATTTTTCTGTCTCGAAGTCGTAAAGCATCTTCGCCCGCCCATACATGATCCTGCGAGCAGCACGAACAGAACTATAGCCCAGCTGCTCAAGTGTGTTGGCGGAAACGAAGCTGCAGGCAGTAAAGAGCATCGCTTGGAGCACGAGCAATGAGAACCGTTCCGGGGATTTCCCCGAGTCGACGCCGTGATACATGTCCCAAAAGGATGCTTCGTTGACCAAGGGAAAGAACGGATGCACATAGCGAAAGTACTGCTGAAGGATTTCATCAAGATACACACGAGATGGCACTCTTAGACATTTCTTGAGCTCCAGAAAATTGATGTCCTCCGGGGGGAGGCGATGCAGGTTGGAAACTGTGAGGAACGGATATGCGGATATGGGCACCGTCGTGGTGAATGCACGTTCGCTGTGCCGAAACTCGTGCCATGGCGAAGGCTCATCTCGGTCTCTTGGAGGTGGTCCGTCATCTCGGGGTGCAGTATCTGTTGCCGGCGAGGGAGGTCGAGTCAAGACTATGTGTGTTTCTGACACTCCCGTGTGCTGCTGGATGTCGGGTCTGGGGCTTCGTGGCATGTCAAAGTTGGTAGCCCCATCTGGGCGCCTATTTCGAGGTTTTCGCAGATTGGAACGGTGTTGCTCAAGAAGAGCTGCCGTGGATGATGAGTAGTTCGACTCGCGCGACCATCTGCGAAGCATGTTGGTTAATGGATGCAGTGCTCAATGGCAGGCGTCTGCTCACCTTCGATTCGACCGCTCCGGAACCACGCAGGTCTCGTGGTCGAGCCGACAATTAGAGCATGGGCTGCCGGTCAGGGCGACATTGCACCTGACTTTGCGCTGACGACAGACCAAGCAGGCCTTGGAAGCCCGTGTGCGTGTCTTCTTGGGACGATTGTCGGCTTCGGTGGGTTGTGCAGAAGACATCGCTGTTATCAAATGGAAAGCTGGGGAGAAGGGGTTGATTGATTGAGCCTCCACTGGCGACGCTGGCGACGCTGGCGCGCCTGTGGTCATTAAATGGGACAACATGGAGACTCTAGGGGGAGGGGGGGAGGTTGCTCCCCACATGCGGGCATTATGGGGGCGAAGCTCCAGGCCTATCCGGCCGGTCGGCAGTCGTGTGTGGGCCTAAAATGCATGGGTAGAGGCTAGGGTAGCGTATATTCATGCTCAGGTGGGCTTCGCAAACCCACCCATCAGGTCTGGGGTAGCAGACTGAGGAGGGTGTGGAGGGCTAGCAACACTGGGGATCGTGGAGGAGCAGGCGCGCCATTCTAGTGCCTGGAACACTCGGGGAAACACGCCTCACACCCTTAGCGGGATTACTGATTCCTCACATCGGCAATTGACAGCGGCTACGGCTTCCCCGCCGCGTCACGAAAGTCGACATTGATGTGCTGATTCACTGCTCGATTGTGCTGACTACCTAGGTACCTATGATACACCCGCGTTCCATCTCCCCGCATTTCATCGCTCCTGATTTCATTGCTCTGACACCAACAGGCTGGCCATTCCCAATCCCTGGGACCCCAATTAGTCTAAAACCTTCTTGTGGGAGATCTGGGGTAACACTCACAGTCCCAACGCACATAGACGTCACGGCGATCTTGCCACCAGTACGTCTGAGCTCCGACAGTGCTGTCACTATCTGACGGGCACCGGTGCAGCCAAGCGGATGGCCAAAGGCGCTATAGCCATGTTAACGAGCCGCCGTTGAGATTGGAAAGCACGACATACATTGCTCCGCCGCGGGGGTTGAGTCGAGCGGGATCAAGCTGAAGTGTCTCGGTGCAGTAGACCAACTGTGTTTGGCAACACCATTAGAAGTGTTTCACCCACAACGATGATGTGAGGAGCCTACCATGGACGCGAAAGCCTCGTTGATCTCGAAGATATCAACGGCTTCCTTTGAAAGCCCAACTTTACCTAGGAGCTTGGGAATCGCATACGCGGGCCCCACACCCATGACGCGGGGCTCGACCCCGACCACCGTGGACAAAACGAACTTGCCGAGAATTGGCTGCTGGAGTCTCTCAGCAACTTCGCGGCGCATGATCAAAACCGCGGCAGCTCCGTCGGTAATCTGCGAGGCGTTACCGCCTGTGGTCGTTGCGGGAGGCCACTGAGGGAAGGCCGATCGAATTTTGGAAAGACCCTCCTTCGTCGTGCCGGCGCGGATGCCGTCATCCTTGTCTACCGTCACTTGCTGGATTTCACCCGTCTTGGGGTCCTTCCAGCTTGTGGTGACAGGCACAATTTCATCTTCCATAAATCCAGCATTCTGGGCAGCCTCAGCCTTCTGGAACGAAGCCGCCGCATACTCATCTTGTCTTTCTCTGCTGATGTTGAAGTCTCGTGCAACATTCTCTGACGTCCAAGGCATCAAGCGGGTCGCGTCCTCAACGAGAGGATTGGCCATGAACTCATCAGGAAACTTGGGAGCGCCATTATCAGGATTGATACTCATGCTCTCGGCACCGACAGCGATTCCAATGTCAATGCTGCCCAGCGCAACCTTTTGAGCGACGGACTCAACCGCAAGGAGGCCGGATGAACACCAGCGACTGACGTGGGAAACGGCTGTCGTCGCGGGAAATCCAGCAGCGAAACCTGATGCGCGCAATGTGTATGGCGCGTCCTTGTGGAGAACATTACCCAGTACAATTTCCTCGACCAGTTTTGGGTCGATTCCGGATTTCTTTACCGTGCTCTGCAATTGTTAGTAGCGTCCGAAGACTCAAAAGCCGATACATACCTGCAGGACAGATACCAGGAGACCTTCCAGCGGAGTATCCTTGAGCTTTCCTTTCTTGGCTTTGGTCAAGGGCGTTCGGACTGCGAGCGTGATGACCTGATGAAGTGAGAATGAGTCGTGATCGTCAGATCTCGGATACACTGACCACATCCTTCGGATCCTTGGCCTGGAGCCGTGCCAGTGCCGCCCGGTCCGCACCTCCTGGAAGCTGCGCTGTCAGGCCTTGAATTCGTTGAGCTGCTGTAGACATTGTGGTTTGACGATGATTCTCAAAGTTGCGAATCAACCAATTCCTCAGGGACATGAAGCTGATAAATAAGGCTGTGCGTGCCGTCGTAATTTGCCGACACGTTGCCGTGCAGCATCCCGACGGTCCGGGCTCGGTAGGCCCCACAAAGGAGACCGAACTTCGGCATCTTCATCCTAGATTTGCCGAGCTTGTCAGATCTGGGGATCGTAGCACATTGTATTTCAATTGGCCAATGGACCAACAAATATGCATCTCGAACACAGCTTCCGCAACATCTCACACCCACCCATCCTTCATTCACATTATCAACATCAGCATCATGCCTCCTTCATTACGAGTCCCCGCGGAGAAGGTCGCGATTGCGGCCTCTGCTGCGGCAGCGACTGTGGTCGGCGCTCTGTACGCCAACAGTCGATATGGGGTTTCCTACGACATTAACCAACTGCTCGCCGAAAAGTCATTCCGAAAGCGATTCCAGGAGCGCGTCGATACATTGGGCAATGATGTGTCTGTTTTCCACATGTTCGAGCTGGCAGACCCACGGGCAGAGGCTCTTTGGTTTGAGGGCCGCACCTGGACCTATGGAGAGGTTCTCGCTGGTGAGTCTTGTCGCGATCAATCGGCCGTCCGCGATAGCTGACATGATTCGCTGCAGAGGCAAGCAAATTGGCAGCTATTTTCCATCGTCAGGGAGTTTCCAACGGGGATGTCGTCGCAGTTTTTGCTACCAACTCACCTGAGATGGTATTTACCATAGTCGCAACATCCAAACTTGGGGCTGTGCCAGCGTTGATTAACACTGCCCTACAGAGTACGTGAAAATCAGATACTTGCAGCTACGGTGACTTGGACGCGAATTAGGAGCTGACATGACCTAGACCAGACGCTTCAACATTGTCTTAATATTGCCAATGCGAAAATCCTGGTATGCACGCCAGACGTCGCGCCGGCAATCGCAGACCTCAAGGGTGAGGGCACGCCATCCGTTGTTTTCTCTCTCAATCTTTCCTCCTTTCCGCCACTACAGCTATCACCGGACGCCTGCACCGCGTCAGATATCACGCAACTGAGGTATGAAGACCTTGCGGCAATCAAGGACGATACTGTCCTTCGCCCGAAACGTGTTCTCAAAGACGTAGGCGCCTTGGTTTATACCTCTGGCACAAGCGGAAAGCCAAAGGCTGTGGCTGTCAAGAACTTCTTGCTCGTTCTTGTTTCGACCCCAGCCACTGTCGATCTGAAGAACCCAAAGACATACCTTCCCCTCCGCACCTTTTCCTGTCTTCCCCTATTTCATGCCACAGCTCTCTTCACTGGGATTTACTACAGTACTGGCCTTTCTGCCTCTTTTTGTCTTTCACGCAAGTTCTCAGCTTCGCGTTTCTCAGCACAGCTTGTCGAATGCGGCGCCACCCGGATGCTCTACGTCGGAGAGCTGTGCAGGTACCTGATCGCAGCTCCCGAATCCCCTTACGACCGAGCGCATAAATGCGTTACAGCCATGGGCAACGGGCTGCATCGAGATGTCTGGTTGCAGTTCACGAAACGATTCGGCATCCCTGAGATTCGGGAGATTTATCGCTCAACTGAAGGCATCGCCAAGTTTGATAACGTGGCACGCACAACCGCAGCCGCGGGCATGGTTGGCTTCGCTGGGCCTCTCAAGCTATACGCCGAAGACGACACCTTCCTCGTCAAGTATGATGCCACCACCGAGGAGCCTTACAGGGACCCCAAGACCGGATTCTGCGTACGAGCCGAGGCCGATGAGCCTGGCGAGGCCATTGGTCGCGTGCGGTCAATGGATTTCCTCAATGATTACCACGGCGACAAGGCGGCTACGGATCTGAAGCTGATTTCCAACGTCTTTGAAAAGGGTGATGTCTTCCAGAGGACTGGAGACTTGCTTGTAAGACAAAGTACAGGTTGGGTACGCTTTCACGACCGCTCGGGCGACACGTTTAGGTGGCGTGGCGAAAATGTCAGCGCCAGCGAGGTTCGTGAGCACATTGGCAAGCTTGAGGGTGTCCAAGACACTTCTGTTTACGCCGTGAAGCTCCCCGGGTGAGTAAAATAGGCCAATACCTGCTGACATTTGCTAATTCGTGAAGATATGACGGCCAGGCTGGAGCGGCCTCGATTACCTTGAATGATCCTTCTCAAGAATCCGAGTTTGTGAAGTCTCTCTACAGCGACCTCCGAGCCAGCGGTCTTGCCCTTTACCAGATGCCGAGGCTTGTTCGGTTTCGCGCTTCGTGAGACACACCGCACCCGATTGTTGGATTTCATGCTGACACCCATTGCTAGGATTGAGACAACTGCTACCTTTAAGAAGTCTACTGGGGCGTTGAAAGGCCTCTCCTGGAATCCGTCCGAAGATCAACCAGACAATGTCTACTGGCTTAATGGTGATAGATTCAGCAAGATTGATATGACTGCATGGGGTGAAATAGAAGCAGGGCGGGCGAAGCTATGAATATACCCTCCTTTGCTTTATGTAGTATCCTTCGGCGTTGAGGGCTGTAGTTATATTCACTGGTGTCTTAAGTCAGTTTAGCTGTTGTATACAGGTACTCAAGAAGGAATATGATGTTTTGCAATGGAAGCCGTATGTTCATGGTGTCGCGAATTTGAATGCATGATGATCTGCCCGCTCACAGACTTTGTTGGTGGGAAGAGGAGTCCAAGCCCTCAAGCTTGCTATCTACACCGTCGATACAGGGGTGTCTCTCGGCATTAACGGCATGACCGGCATCGCCCAGCGACTGCGATTCAAGTAATGTGTGCACGATTCAACACGTTTCAGCTGCCCGGCTGAACCGTGAACCTTAAATCGCCCTTGGATAACCTGCCACCGGCATGACCACTACTGTGGGTGACTCAGATCAAGCTAGTATCATCGACTTTCATTCATTGTTTCCTCGCTAGTGAAGCTGCCCAGCACAAAATTTCGTCCACTCCCAGAATTTCATCGCGTCCGGGGCGCCTCAGGGTCTTTCCACTCTTGTCGAACAGGGTAGGGAGATTTATCAAAAACAAGTCGATGTCCGAACCGCGGCGTATCCGAGGACACGTTTCCTATCATCTCATCATGCTGCGTAATAAACTTTCCAGCCTCAATCGTCATAGAGTATCTTTTTGGCTGAAAGGCCTCGTCCCAGAGTAAAGACTCGTTGATGCTGTACCGGCTCATGTGAGCGTCTCCTATGTGGTTGAGTCGTCTCTTTGTGAGAGTGATCTCGAGCCCAAGTTGGCCCTGGCGCTGGCTGTTTTTGCCAATCCACCATCCCGTAATGCCTTTGGTGGGCTCAGATGTGCCCATCCCGAGGAGTTTCCACTCTATCTCTGTTGCTATCCATACGTTGAGCTCAGCACGGCAGACGAGCTATGAAATGTCAGTCTAGCAAGCCCAAGTGAGCTTTAGAAGCCTTACGTCGCCGGTGCCGTCCTTGCGAAACACAATGCGGCTTTCTCCTCTCGGATCCCATGACCAAAAATGGCTGCACAGGATGGAAGATAGTTCGTGAGTTATAGTATGTGACAATTCCAGATAGCTAGTAAGGCTGTTTTGTTTGCATCCGTAGGCAGAGGAGTTTGGAGTTGTATTCTGTAGGAGCAGAATAGCTATGAGGCACAGCGCCGTTTTGTCTTATATTAGTGTACGCCTCGGCCCGCCCGACACCATTGCCCTACTAAGGGACCGTGTTATGCCGATCGATAGAAGCTGTCCACCTCTATAGTACGGGCTAGCCGGATTTAGCCCAGGCCCTGTTCGAGCTAAGTATAAAAGATAAAGGACTTACTCGCGCTCCAACCACTTTACGGAGCAGATATTTAAGCTAAGGAGAGATAAGTTATAGGCATCGTATGCTACGATACGTTTAATTGACTATCGGTACTTCTAGAGCCCTTAAGGCATTAAGATGGAGATTGAATCGGGTTCGCCGACTGCCGTAATGTGCTCGCCTAGTAGGTATAGCCGTAGTACCTTACTAAGTGAAATATAAGCTGCGAATTCGGTCGACCTTAGTTTATTAAGGGTTATAGAGCATTATAATACTCTTTAAACGACGTTAGCTAAATATATTATATTAATACTTATTAAGTATGCTGAGGTATAACTAGGTAACGATCGAAGAGGTTAGGTGATAATA